ATATTGTGCATGTTTGTTTTCCTTCGAAATATAAAATCTAACTGTGTGTAGTGATATTTGAACTTTGGAGGGTAAGCTTGTCAATTAAATTAGTAATTCATGTATATAAATTCTTCTAGTTCAAACATAATGGCTGTTCCTAGGAATTTATATGTGTGTGCCTTTAAATTACTGTTGATGTCTGGTGATTACATGGAGTAGTCCCTGTAGGGTTTTTTTTTTTTTCAAGATTTTAAGAAGTGATCTGCCATTGCATCTTTTCTTGGGCTGAGAGAGACTGGCCCAGTCACACAGCTGAGACAGGACTAGAACTGACAATCTCCTGGTTTCTGATATGATATTTTAATCACGATGCCAATCTGGCTGTCTTCCTAAGAAATATCATCAATATAAGGTTCTCTTACTGGCAATGGAGGGGAGGGAAGGAAGGAAGATTGGCTCAGGAACTGTACTGTGGTGGTCTGAATTTGCTGTTGACAAGATCCAGTAGAAAAGAAAATAGTAACTAAATGATGGGATTCACTTCTTAGTCTGGAAATCTTGGTTTTTCCCTTCTTAAATCACCCTTGTTTCCCCTGAGAAGAAATGAAATCAATTAAATGCAAAAGATGTTACTCATAAGTTTTATATAGGGGCAGCCAGCCATTTTCCTCACATTTATGGCAGATTTTCTAAATGATTAGGAACTGAAAATAATCAACGTAAAGAAATGTCAACGTAAAGGTCAATTACCAATAGTGGATAGGAAGGAAACAAGGATCATTTTAAATTATCTTCTATTATTGTTCTTATTTAAAATAAGCATAGAAGTGAGGGAGAATTAGAATACATAAAAGGGACAAGTTGTAATATGAAAGAAAATTGCCAGTAATTTATTTCTAACAGAAATGGCAAAATCCACTAAAATGTTACAGTAAATCACAGAGTCATTTACTTATTTATTTCCTGACTAAAAACTTTATGTATTACTTTAGAGGTAGAGCCGCTCTGTGAGGGAGATGGGTAGTTAAGAAGTTTGATATATAAATAAGTAAGGCAGTAAGCATACCTATTACTCGTTCCGCCTCCTGCTTTTCCCACAATGACAATCCTGTAAAAGTGGCTTGGACTGTGAAAAAGTTGGCTTTCATGCATAACTATGGTAGTACTAAAACTCATAGGAGCCACGGTGGCACAATGGTTAGAATGCAGTGTTGCAAACTAACTCTGCCCACTGCCAGGATTTCAGTCCTGACTGGCTCAATGTTTTGTCATGGTGCTGGGTGCTGGGATAAATATGCTATATTCATTGTTTTTGAAAGAACAAGTATTTTATGGATAGCCATGGTGGCACAATGGTTAGAATGCAGTGTTGCAAACTAACTCTGCCCACTGCCAGGATTTCAGTCCTGACTGGCTCAATGTTTTGTCATGGTGCTGGGTGCTGGGATAAATATGCTATATTCATTGTTTTTGAAAGAACAAGTATTTTATGGATGTTGTGACAGATATGATCACCGCCAGAGTGGCAGGCTGCCAGCAGTATTTTGGAAACAGTTTGAGCCAGTGGGAGAGATAGAGGAAACAGTGGCAAAGAGCAGAACCACGCTTGAATTTATCCAGGTGGTAAACAGGTAGAGTGGTAGCAGGTTGAGGCTTTTTATTTCTGGAAGCAGAGCACAATCGAGGGTTATTAGAGTTCAGTATCAACTACTTGTAGCTCAGCTGACAAACAGCGCCTGAAATTCAGTGGCTTCCAATAAAGGAAAATATTTGTAGCTCAGGGTTGAAATAAGGGGTCCTTGGTGCTTTCTGATCTTGGTTGCTGATGTTGTGCTGATGATAGTGCTGATGATATTACCTAGCTTGGGTAATGAAATGTCTGCAAGAAAACAACCAAGTACCAAGGGCCCCTCTTCCAGTGGCTTGCTAGAAGAATGGCCAGAGAGCAGGTTCTGTTTTCACCCATTTTATGGACAGCAGTAGAGATAAAATTGACTCTAATTGAGCTGGTTTGGCACAGCAAGGTGGCAGTGGCTAAATCATGAGAACTGGAGTCCTTAGTAGAACAGAGGACACTTATGCCTAGGTAGGTGATAACAGTAAGAGAAGAAACAAAGCAGGAGTGTTATGGGAGAACCAGCAGGTCTCCTGTGGCTGCTGCCTGGTCAACCATATAATGCAGCAACCATCTTGGCAGTTTCTGCTATCTTCTCCCTGGGATTAGACACTTGGATAGGCTGACACTAGACTTTTAAAATCCCAGGGCTTATAGGGATGGATTCCGTCATGGCTACTGTCAACCAAAATAAGAATTGGACCAGCGGATACCTTTGTTTTTTCCACCTTTGGAGAATGAACTGGATGAAACTGGCCTTGTCTATCACCCTTGTGTAAGAGGCAGATATACTGTACCAGACGTTTCTGATAATGGTTTATTGTTTGTTATGTTTTCATTGCTTTTTTGTGAGCTGCCCTAGGTTGTTCTATATAAGGTGGACAGCCACAGAATTGTTTTAAATACATACATATATTCATTTCTATATTAACTTTTAAAAGTGATCTTAGTTCTATCTGTGTGTTTGGAGACTGGAGACTAAGGCAGATTTGTGCCTGGCAGAGCAACAGACTAAATCAAGGTCAGTCCAGGTTAAAGAATTCATCAGAAACAAAATCCAAACATGACAAAAGAACCACTTAAAGAACTACTTCTTTATTAAATAAATATTTCAATATTTTAAAAAACATCCAAAGACTAACATATGATCAAGATTGAAAACAAACATAAAATATAAAAGACTGAACTAAAGAATCTTCAGTATAGAATTAAGGCAATAACAGTTAATAAGAGAATTAAAGCTAGTTAAATAGCATAAAATTACTGCTAAACAGTTATTGGTGCAGAACATAATGCTCTGTTTTTGTTGCTTTGTTTACCTATATAACATAGATCTGAAGAATCGTGTATTTCTAAAAAGTATGCTTATTATTACTTTTTAAGCTTTTTTTAGAATTTATGGGAGATTAAATAATATGTTTATGTAACAATATAAATACTTCAATTTAAACAATTTCCTTTGGGGCTGACAGATGCTGAATGCATGACTCATATCTCTCCTGTGTGTTTCCTAACTAGAGAATGATGTTCTCTTGCCCTAATGCATTACATGTTCACAAAATCTTGATTGTCACTTACCGTATTCTCAGTTTATTCACTGTATTTTTGATGGTGTACTGACCAAACTGTATGAGAAGCTCCTTTTCAGAAGCTGAAGTCCTTTCATTCACGAGAAGGATCAAATGCAGTAAAGCATAGGGATAGCTCGGTTTGAGTGAAGTATTGTATTATCCCTGGTAGCGATCATATCTAAAGCAGTAATAAGAATGTGGCACATTCTGGGAAGAAAAAAGACTTCAGGAGGTAAATGTCAGTTCTCATTAACAGAGAAGCTAAAGGAAATATCTCATTCTCAGTCCTGCACACCTGTCATAAACATTTCTCAAATTCCATAGTTGTTTTCTGAGATTTTTTCTAACTTTTTTGAGGGGGAAATTTGTTCTATTTGAAAATGTAATCCTAAATTTAAAGCTATGATTTTCCTGCCAATGTGGTGCCTTCCTATCATCCACCAAACAACATTACCAATATCCATTCTGGCTAGAAACTAATGTATCAGTTTGGGGAAGGATGACAAGCATTCATGGCTAGCAGACCTAAAGCACTATCCCATGTTGCCATAGCAACATGAGGGGCAACATGGCCTTGGTTTTTCAAACTGTAATAATTTGCCAAGCAAAAAATAAAAAGGAGATTAAGCCACAAAGTACAGGTACCTTCATAAAAGAGTTGCCACGGTGGACATGGCCTAGTACAAAATACTCATTTAGCAATGTGCAGCTAGTGGTGGTTATTTTCAACCACTCCACTTTGCATTCCCAGGCTGCTCCGCATAACATTAGCTTTTCTTTTATCTTGTCTTCTTTTTGTCCCCCAGGCAGATTGGCCCACTTTCTAGATAATCATTACAGATGGCAAATTGGTATTTGAGTCTATGTATTTATTTAGTTCAGAAGTTTAACCCATTTTTCTGTTCATATTCCCAGCTCTATGTTCCTAATGAATGAACAGTAAAGCAACTGAAAAGACAATAAAAGCCTCAAAAGATGATGTGGAAAAACTGCATTCCCAGTGAAAAGAATAAGGCAAAATATGAATGTGCTTTAAGGTTGAGTGGGGGACAATTTAAGGAAGTTAGAATTATAGCTATTGATTAATCAGTACCTGATCATAGCAATAGCAATAGCACTTAGATTTACAGTATATACTGCCCTATAGTGCTTTACAGCACTCTGTGGATGGTTTACATAGTCATATATTGCCCCCAACAATTTGGGTCTTCATTTTACTGACCTCAGAAGGATGGAAGACTGAGTCAATCTAGAGCCCATCAGGATCAAACTCCGGGCTGTGGGCAGAGTCAGCCTGCAATATTGCATTCTAACTACCACACGCCAGGGCTCACTAATAATACTGCCTATTCAAACATTCAAGGCCTCAGCTGGTGTTTTCCTCCTTATGGTTCTTTACCTTTAATATATACTGACTTGACCTAAGAAACCCTTGAGATACAGGATGCCTTCATACAGGGAGTCTCCTTTGTGCTTTGCAAAATAGGATGCCTGGCTCTCCTACCTCAAGAAAAATACAACCAGTCATGAGAATAGATAGATATCCCAAGGCAAGGAGTTATGGATCTTTCCTGCCACAACAGAGGAGGCACACTTCCTTGTTTCTACCAGCTTGCTTCTGATTTATATTTCTAATTGGATTCTACCTTACAGTTGCCTGATATTTAAATGAAACATGACTGAAAAATATGTAGGATATGTACAATACAGGGTTTTGTTTTGTAAATATTTACAAGGTTCCAAATAAAATGATCACATTATTCTTATTACAGTTATAGTAGTGTGAAAGAACTATATCCTAAATCTTTGCTTGTTTTTTTTTTTTTTAACAGATGGCTACACAACTGATGATATTGAATTTTACTGGCGCGGGGGTGATAATGCGGTTACAGGAGTGACAAAGATTGAACTGCCACAGTTCTCTATAGTGGATTACAAACTTATCACCAGGAAAGTTGTTTTCTCAACAGGTTTGTGAGGAAATTTGAGAAAGAGAATGCTTCTCCAATGTAAAACTGTTTAAACTGTTTTAATATCACACAATGGTGAACTGCATAGTTTGCAAAATAATTTGGGCTTTCAATAAACTTTAAACAGGTTAATTTAGTGGACTGTTGCATTACATCCAATAGTTATGAATTGAAACTTCCATCACTTCTATCCAATATGGATAATAGCAGTTGTTCTCTGAATATAACTATGAGATAGTAAGCAGACTGAAGTTGCAATTCTGTGCAAGTTTACCCAGGGATTAATTTTACTGAATACAACAGACTTGTTGCTGAATAAACATTAATAGGGTTGGCTTGTGTAAATAATAAATCTTGAAGTTATTCAATAATTATATAAAGATGTGCCAGGGCAAGGATCTAGTATTTGTTGGCAACTCTTTAATGCAACTGTGTCTTTTTCTAGGACAATGCAGCAGCTATATACGGCAACCATGCAGTTGAGACAAAAGATGCAGTTGCTTTAAAATGTTGTGAATTATGCTTGGTTCACATTTCTTAGAGTTCTGAAGAGTTTCTTGAAATTAGATAACTTATATGCCTTACTCAGACTTTCTAAAGAATGGTTAACAACCAAAGCTAATAAATTATTTTCTGTCTTCTGGAGGTACTCTACTCTCAAAGCTAAGTTTAAAAAACCATCAACTTTATCCAGTCATTTTCATTATTGAAAAGTATACTATCTCTTTCCAATCTTTAATGGCTCCCTATAGAGTAATCATTAGCTGCCCTCTATTCTATTATTCAGACATCTAAATCTAGTTAAGTTGGGTTATTTTTTTATTTTGGCAAGCAGTCCTTGGCAGAGCAAGAAATTACTTTATGTAATCCTTGGTTGAGAAATACCTTTCTAGATTGCTAATCAAATCAAATCAAATCATAATTATTATTTTTATATATTGCAAATCTGTAGAATACAGCCTTTGGTTTGTTCTTAAAACAGAGCACAAAACTTTGGAAGTACTAGGATTAGAATCTCCATTTGAGACCTGAGATGAACTCCTGAGGAAAGTTTAGATCCAGACAATTTATGAGATACAATTTCTGTGTTTTCACTTGCCATGCCTTTCTATGTTTTCCTATAGATTTCTTTACTTTTTCATACGACTATGCAGAGTCTATTAATTATAACTGTGCAGTGCTTTAGATTTGATACTGAAAAATACTCCAGGGCACATAGGGATGTGAACATGATATATTTCTGCCATATCGTTCCTGCAGCTGTGTTGAACATGGCTATTGCATATGCTATTCATGTGTTAGCACTGTGTGCTTGTGTGTTTGCATGCGTGTTTGCATGCATACTTGTGTGTGACACTGACAAATGCATCATGCTACTCCCTTTCAAGGTAAGTACTGTTAAGTGAAGTTCAGAAAGAGAATTAAAATAATAAAGCAAAGAAATTAAAGCCATTAAGAATAAGAAAGTAAATAAATCTGATTTATGCAAACAGTTTTCATAATATCTTTCCATATTTTCCCATCCTGGCAAAATGTCCTGACTTCCACTATGTCCATATTCTGATTCATTTATTGTCTCTTCAAATTTCACATTTTTTAAGGTGTCCTCTAGCTTCATACAGCCACAACTTCCTTTGTCTTCCCTTTTCTCTTAACCATTCACTTTTCCTTCGTATAGATTGCCATTCTCTCTCTTATGTGATCAAACCATCTCAATGTATTTTTTGTTCTTTGTTCTCTTTTGTTTTCTGTCTACATTCATTCAACAGCCCTAGATTCTTGACTTCATTTTCAGATCTGTATTCCTTGTTGTTTTATACACTCTAAATTATATTTGCTGCAAATCATTGGGAGTTTCAACCAACTACATGGCATCACCTGCATACAGAAATATACATACATTGAAAGGATGGAAGGGAGGGAGATTTCACATGCGTCCCATCCTCCCTGGAAGCTTCCCATGAGGAAAATCAATGGAGAAGCCAGCAGGAAGTCAGAAGTCATTCCTACTCCCATTGCTTTTTTGCTCAACCATGATCATTCTGTTTCTCTGTTTAAGTAAGGAAATACCTCTGAAAGGATAAGCCAGCCAATCATAGGTTGTCTAATATAAAATAAACTTCAATTTTGTAGGAGAAGGACTGGCAGAGCCAGAGAAAAGGTTAAAAGATATAAATATACATATACATATAAGATATACATATATGTGTATGTGTGTGTGTGTGTGTGTGTGTGTGCGTGCATGTGTGTGTGTGTGTGATTGTTGAAGAGATCTGCAAACTCATTGCCCAGCATACAACCACATTATTCTTTCAAAAGTTTGATTTTAGTTTTTGTACTCTTTTGATTAGAAAACTATTAAACTTATCCCCAAATGTCCTTGATACACTAAGCACCCTATAATTTTTTGTATTCATTTTCAATTTTTCCATTAGTCTAGAAATAGTAATAGCAATAGCGCTTAGATTTATACAGCACTCTCTGGGCAGTTTACAATGGCAACATATTGCTCCTACCAATCTCAGAAGAATGGAAGTCTGAGTCAGCTTTCAACCCATCATGATCAAACGCCAGACTGTGGGCATACTTAACCTGCAGTACTTCATTCTAACCACTGGACCACCAGGGCAGTGTTATAGTATATAGGAGCAGCAACAGTTTTTTTATATATAATTGTCAGGCAAATACAGTATATAATCTTCACATTTATGTTAAACAAGTCATAACCACTTAGTATTGGTTATATTTTATATTTTAATAATTTTTAGTTAATTATTTAAACCTTAAGTCTTGTTAAAGCATTTTCAGTTCTGTTCTCGGCTGCAATTACCTTTCTGTATAAATTTCCATCATCATAGTTTTATCTCAAGTAATTCCATTACTTTAATTTTTGATTCTATTCACTCTGATATTTACTTATTTTATCTAGCCTTTTTCACTGACCCACCAAAGAAAAAGAATCATCCCCCCACACACACACAAACACACAATTTTGTCCATCAAAATTTACCCGTAGGAGATGATGAGTTTGACCCCCCTCTTGGGTTCAACCTGGTCATCTCCTACATTACCTTATTTTCTCTGCCTCTTTTAATCTTTGCTCTCTTTATCTATGTTTCTTCTAAATTTCTTTTTTTCTCTATGCAGATATTATATAATTTAGAATAGAATAAAGCTGGAAGAGACCTTGGAGGTCTTCTAGTCCAGCCCCCTGCTCAAGCAGGAGAACCTATACCACTCAACAAGTGACTGTCTAGCCTCTTCTTAAAAATCTCCAGTGATGGAGCGCCCACAGTTTCTGGAGGCAAGCCATTCCACTGGTTAATTGTCCTCACTGTCAGGAAGTTTCTCCTTAATACCAGATTGCTTCTCTTTTTTATCAGCTGCCAACCATTGTTTCTCGTCTTTTCCTCTGGTGCTTTGGTGAATAATGTGACCCCCTCTTCTTTGTGGCAGCCCCTCAATTTCTTTGTGTTGTTTTCATTTTAGTAACAATCTTACTTTTGTTTGCATTTACAGCATTTGATCATTCTATCAGTCATTTTTTTTAGCATAACTTTTCTCATTAGCATATCTCCACACACAGTTCTATGGCATTAGGCAGCATAATTCTTTTTAGTCTGTTCCAAGTAGTGCCCACATCCATTTTCATCACTTCCACCTCATATTCATTCTGTTAGGAAATTTAATTTAATTTCCAGCAGGACTTTTTTTTTCTTTCCCTGCAGTCATTCTACTTTCATGAAAGATTCTTTCTTCTTTAAACGTCCATTTTTATCTCAATAAATTTACCAAAAAATTGTCTTTCCCCTATTGAGAGCCTCTTATTACCCTTAAGTCCTTCATCAGTTCTATCAAACTTTCATTAAAGTTAATTTCAGTGATCATCCTCCTTCCATTATAATTATTCACTGCAGTATCACTAATCTATGGATTCCTATTCCTCGTACACATTTTGTAACAATTTGGATGTCAAAATATGTTCTAACATATATATTCATAATTAAGCCCACACCTTCACTTTCCCACATGTATGCATCTAATCTAGTCTGTGGCATGACACCATTTCTTTCAGATCTACTAATCTTCCACATTCTTTTAGTTTTACAAATATACAACTTAAATTTTTCTTCATTTCCTTTCATTAGTAAATTCATATTCTTTCCCATTCATTTCCTTCACATTCCAAGTCATTATTTTCCATATTCTATAGTCATCAACAGATGAACTCATAGAGATTGACCTCTGATACACTTCTTGGCTTTGGTCAGTCAAGGCTTTCAACTACCAAGGTAATTCTAGATTAAGGATCTTAGCCTGTAAAGAGAACATAAGCATGCTGGGATAAAACTGGGTGTTGATTATACATGTGACCAAATAAGTAACGCTATAGGTAACACAGATAGTAGTCTTCACTTTTTCTATATTACTGAAAAGTGTTCTATGAAAGCTATGATTATGTACTGTTGCCATATCTCACCCATTTGGATAAGCTGGCAGTGTACTGACACACACTCAAGAGGCAAATCCGCTGTATCTGTTCATTGCCTTTTGAAAACTTTCTTTGAGTATAAGTTAAGATGCGTAAGTTCTTTGTTCCTTTGTTAAGTTAATGGAATTTTCATCTCAATAGCCATAATAGTCTGGAATTGTCTGTTTACATGATACTTGTTCTTAAACAGTGTTTGAAAACTTCTTTGTTTTTGTTCTAGGTTCCTATCCCAGGTTGTCCCTAAGTTTTAAACTTAAGAGAAACATTGGCTATTTCATTCTGCAGACTTATATGCCTTCCATTCTGATCACTATTCTGTCTTGGGTATCATTCTGGATTAATTATGATGCATCAGCTGCAAGAGTGGCTTTAGGTAGGTATTTTTTATTTATTCACATTGAATACGTTACCTATACAAACAAATATACTTAAATTGCATGATTGTATGAGTGGAACATTTTCTATTGGCCAGCATTTGTACTTAAGTAATTTGTTCAAAGTTATATAAGTAGTTAAGTTAACTGAAATCTGAACTCATCTGGACTATATGAAATATGTTCTGATGTGATGCAGCATTATTACATAGTCTTATTGCCACTCCAGTCTAAGATTCCATGTTTGATTAATTATATTTCAGCTGAAAAATCAAACATGTTTAAGTAAAATTAAACATTTTGTTCTAATCCTGATCACCAAATAACTTTTACAGTATTGCTTTATGTTACTGATAATGTAAAAAAAAATATTGGATTCCTCGTATGATTTTACCACTTAAATTGCAGAGGAAACTTGCATATTTCAGGGAGGGAAACATCACTTTCAGATAAAAAGGCCTAGATTCAGTACCTGACTAATGCCAATAATAAGACTGGAAAAGACTCCTATTCAAATTCAACTGCCAGCTATGGGACAAAAGAACAAGAATTATTGTTAGAGAAACCATTAATTGCCAAGCAAAATCAGCAGGTTTGAATTGGACATAAGATGCCTCCTTAAAGAATTGGTCTATCTGCCCTTCCTTTTCCTTCCATCCCTCAACCCTTGTGTGTCTTGTCTATTTGCTATATATCTGAAGGCAGCCTCTCCTTACCTTAAAACTGCTGTGAATGGTGTGAGAGTTAAAGATAATTTGAGTTGCAGATATAATAAATATTCCTTCCCACCCACCTAAAACCCTGAGGTGCTGCTGCTCATCAGGATAAATAATACTGAAAGACCTATATGCTGACTCAATAGAAGGTAGATTCTGATTCAGTAGAAGGCAGTTTCTAGAATTTCTTACCCAAGAATATTATAAGATTCAATTGCCCTTCTCTTACTTTAATTATCAGATGAGCATAAAACAATACTCTACCTCAGGAGTCTTCAAACTTGGCCCTTTTATGACTTGTGGACTTCAACTCTTAGAATTCCTCAGCCAACATGCCTGGCTGAGGAATTCTGGGAGTTGAAGTCCACAAGTCATAAAAGGCCAAGTTTGAAGACCCCTGCTCTACCTAGTACAGGGGTGTCAAACTGCCGGCCCATAGGCCGGACGCGTCATGCAGAAGCTGTGCCCACCCCATTGCCAGCAATGGCAAAACTCTCCTGATACATTGTGCAACGTCACATGACATCACGAGTTTGACATGTCTGACCTAGTAGGATTAAGTTGTCTTCTGCTAATTTCTGTTTCAAATTCTACAAGTTACAAAATTTGCCAAAAATAATGCTATAAAGAGTGGTTGCCAGGAGTTATACAGTTGTATTATTGTTCTGCTGCTATTTCAGGTTTGTTACCTATGAATAACAACTTGTTACGCAAGCAAGGAATCTCACAGATGCTTCCTGTTATTTTGAAATGGTCAGGACTGAAGGCAACTATATTTAATAAAGACTGCAGAATGCATTGTCCACAATATCTGAAACTAATAGTTGGGTTGATCTCTAGTAGAGGACCCGAGATTGAGGAAAACACATACCACCCATAGGGATGAGAAGGGAATTTATATCTTATACCAGTAAATAAATAATTGCTGACCTAGGACTTTTTCCTCTATTCATAGATTTAATGCTCTCTACTATTTTCTAGGGACATAAAAATGTAGCTAGATTATATCTCAGATCGGAATAGACGAAGTTTTGTTTTATAGGGATTTTTTACTTTTTTCAGCTACTTATTTGCCCAGATATTTTAAATCTAATTAAATAACATTAATTGTATTTAATGTTATTTGTTTTTTGTTTCACTTGATCTGTATTTCAATTTTAGATTATTTTACTATACTTAATATGTAACCTTGCTGGTTCTTTGGGATTAAGGTATCATTTATAAATTTAAAAATAAACAAAATATTTGTTATTTATTGATTGTATTTCTGTTTTCAAGATCATGCGATGGTGCACACAGTACTCATCCTTCAATTTCAGTTCATAATAATTTAAGAAATCGCAAACTTCCTGAAATCAACACTGTGCTTTGTCCTGAGTTGTATTTCCCAGATCCTAATCTAACCATTGCAGTTGTATCACTGCCCACAAATCAGACATTAGAGTGAACTCTTTCCAACAAAACTTTTTAAAGAAAGTTCTGATTTCTTACACAGCATTAATATATGTTGCAGTTTTGTAGTTAGAAAGTACCATATGTAAATTTGTCTGTTTATTTTGTAATGAACCCTTAAATGTTATTAGAATTGGTTTTTGTTATGCGTTTTCCAGTGCATCAAAAGATACAAAGATACAAATCCATCAATTGTGTATGTTTAAATAGCTTATAAGAAGAAATATTATTATAATGAAATATGTGTTAAGTGTACTGTTGACTGCTCCCTCAATGCAAGAATCCACAAGCTCCATTTCAAGCACCTGAACTCTAAGCAAGATATTTTTTTTCTGACAACCAAACCAAATGTTTCAAATCAGAAAACAACACATAAAAACATCTTAACTATAAAGAACATGAAGTAGAAAAACATCAGCTTCCATCCTGACTGTGGTAACATCTCTGTTTAACAAATCATCAGGAGAAGAAAATTTCCTTGCACTTTAACAGAGGTCAATTAAACCCAAATTTGGATCATTTGTGTGCAAAATTGATATAAATGCTGTCATTGCAGTAAAACTTCAATTTAATTGGCACACCCTAAGTTTACCAAGCATCAGTCTATTAAATGGCAGTAAATTCATTCATTGTAACTGAACCATTAAACCAAAAATTTTACTGCATTTCCTTGATGTTGGTTTGCATAATTCATAATACTTAAAATCTTCTCAGCACCGCCAGAACAAAACCAAACAGCAAGGAAAGCAATAATAAAATGTAAGGATGTACTTTCTTTTTACCCCTCTCTCATTTTCTAGATCTACACCGTGTTGCACTCTATAGCACAATGACCTTTGCACATTAACAAGAAAAACACACGCATGCATGCATACACACCAAAAAACAGAGAAAACATAAATGCACACTAAATTGGAGTTTTGTGATGTTTTACAGGGATCACAACGGTGCTGACTATGACAACCATTAATACCCATCTACGAGAAACACTACCCAAAATTCCCTACGTGAAAGCCATTGACATGTATCTGATGGGCTGCTTTGTCTTTGTGTTCATGGCTCTCCTGGAATATGCCTTGGTGAACTACATCTTTTTTGGCAGGGGACCACAGCGCCAGAAGAAAGCAGCAGAAAAAGCTGCCAGTGCTAACAATGAGAAATTACGAATGGATGTCAATAAGGTAAATTGAAATGGGAAGTTTATAGAGTACCCTCTCCCAGTTGCAGTATTAGATAATTTATTTCTTCCTAACAGGCCTTTCAGAAGCAATAGCCTCTGCCAAACAAGTCACATAGGGTAAGAGAGTAATGTCTTGGCTTTTAAGATAGGGTTTTCCAGATGATCAGAAGCTCCAATGCAATGAAAATGTATCCTTATTTACGGCTGGAGGATTATCCAGTCTAATGAAAATATAAATGAAAACTGATCTACAGCTTTTCATTACATAGAGGTCAAATAAGCCCATTTCAAAGCAATAAAATGAATAAGACATGCTGAAGTTTATTCTTTTTTTTAAAGCAAGGCAAACATTTAGTTAGAATTGTTTTTTCCCTTTTTTCACACTTCTGATGTGCTCAACTTTTGCATATGAATATGTATAGATTTAAAATTGTTTACTGTTTTTATGCTATCTAATTACATTGTTCTTTAGATGGTTTACAAGATAGAGACACAATGCAGATAATAACCAATAGCAAAAGTAACATAAAAACCCATTTGCAGTAGGTAAATAAGATACACACACACACATACACATGTAAGCAATTTATAATTTGAATAAATTTATTTCTTGGAAGTGCTCCTGATAGTTTTGCTTCTTAATAGAACCATTCAATTCAGAAGATTCTAGTTAGTACTCTGAATCAGAAATGGTCAAGAGTTCCATGATGTTAGGCAAAAAATGTAGTATTGTAAGAAAGTGACTTTATTCTGATTATAAAATAAGTAATCATCTCGAAAAATCATCTTTTAATGCATTAGGAGCCTACATTGTCATTTTAATGGAAATTTTTTTTCTCAAGGTTGATTTCCAAGATCTATACATTGCACATTCAATTTTTTATCATATTTCAGGGTGATGTTTGAAGACTTTTACAATCCAAAATGATGGCTAAAACTGCTAAAGAGCTGCATGAAATCTTATGAGAAAAACAAATGTGTGTGTGTGTGTGTGTGTTTGTTCATTTATTTATTTTACAGGCTAGCATGTTATATATTTTTACAGCAAAGATATCAGTGAAAATCTAGTTCCACTGAAGTACAGAATAAATCCAGATAATATACATTTTTGTAAAATTGTATGTATATAAAACTAGAATTTATAAACAATGTTGTAAATCCAAACTGTCTATCAGTATATTTGTATAAAATTTAAGGAAAGGAGATCAGAAATATATTGAAGTTTGTATAATTCCAAATATTTTTAAATTCCTTCTTTTCCAGCCCCAGTATTATAGTGGTAGTGCTGTGATCATTTTATTTATAACTTGCAAGCGGACCAAGGTAATATGCATAATGGCTGGCTAAATAGCATAGACATCTCTCTTGCTAGCCTTATCTAGCTTCTGTAGTTTTATTAAAATAAATTATGCAGTATAGAGAGGCAGGGAAAAGAAAGATATGCTGGTATTCATCAATTTTCAGTATAAGTGATATACTGCTTTCATTAGTGGTATTTCACAAGAAAAGAATCTAGAAAACATTGATAAATTACATTAATTACGATATACTACACAATATAATCATGTTTACTTAAAAAGCTAAGTTTCATAGAGTTTGGAGGGATGATCTGTTGATCTGATCTAAGTTGGTACCCTTAAATTGAATTAAACTGAAATTAATAGAACTTTAAATAACGTATGGATAGATCTGTGTCTATATCTGTATCTCTTTGGACATCTAGCCCATTTCATGTATTTCAGTAACAATACTGAACCTATTGAAAAATATATTCCACAATATTCAGCAGGAAATTCTATTTCCTCCAGTGAGTCAGACTCCCAAAAATACACATAAAAATGAAAATCCTAATGACAATTTACATCTACCTTTTTATTACAATGGATGTTCAAAATGTCAGTGAGTTCAGAGCGCCATACGTTCTCGCAAATGAGTTTGAGTTGTAGTTGGTTGGGGGCTTTTTTTGTCTAGTGTTTTACAGCAAGGGGGGGACAATTGCTGGAGAGACAATAGTATTCTGCCCTATTTAACATTTTAAAATTGTGGCTGGCTTGGTCATTATTTTTCTCAGTGGAAGATGGAAAAGAGGAGTTATGCAGCAGAAGAGGCAAAAAATTGTGTTCTGCAATATGCAAGCCACTAAATTGAGAAATTACCCAGATATGCCTTCTATACAACATTCTTACAAAACCATATAATGTAAGGATCTCAGGGTGGAAAAATAGTATGTAAATTCTGAAATAAAACAATGGAAGAAGGAAGTATAAAAAATGGAATGAAAACTGCCTACCTTTAAAAGAATAACAGTAACTTTTGAAAACTTGGCTCCTTTACATATTTAAAAATGAATGCATCTTTTAAAAAATAATTGCAGTGTTCTGTTTACATCAGATCTTATTTGTATTAGGTTGATGCTTGGGATTTTATGGAATACAGTCGGTCCTCGACTTACAATCATAACTGACACCAAAATTTCAGCCATAAGTTATTCATAAGTAACTCATGTGATTAGACCTGATTTTTCAACCATTTTCATGGCAGTCATTATGCAAATCACATGGCATTAAACAGATCATGTGGCTTTAAGTCTGAATCCATTCTCTCCCCCAAAGATCGCAAATCACAGTCCTGCGCAGGATGCTGCAACTGGTCATAAATGCAAGCCAACTGTCAAGCACCTGAAATGTAGTCACATGACTACAGAGGGGCAGTGTGACATTTTACAGCAGTGCTTTAAAAGTGCTTTAAAGTCCATAAAGCATCCTTTCTGAGGCCATTGTAACTATGTTTGATCATAAGTTGAGGACTACTTGTAGAACATTTTATAAATTGGCTAAAATATGATTTTAACTTTGTTTAACAATGATACAGCATATAGAGGTCTACAAATGTAGATAGATATTCATTTCCTTGTTTTAAATATATATATAAGCAGTAGTCTGTGCTTATTTTATTATTATTATTTAGTTTTCTTATAATCTTTTTATTTTACTTAAAACAAAGGTATATTTTTTAGAAAAATGATTTATGAATAAAAAAATAATTACTGAGGTTACAATTATTATTCAATATCACAATTAGTAATACCTCTATTAAAAGAAGTATCAAAAGAAAGTATATATCTGAGGGACTGCCTCTCCCCACTCTTATCAGCTCATCCCCATTAGATCTAGTGGAGAGGGCATGTTGTGGGCCCCATCAACTCAGAACCTATGTTTGGTGGTTCCTAGAACACGTGCCTTCTCTAATGGCACCTGCCTTAAGAAATATCTATCGCTTCAACATTAGATTATGTTCATTCATTTTGACAGTCCAAAAGGCCCTCAAGACAGGTTATGTCAGGGGTAGGCAACCCAAAATACTCAAAGAGCCACTTGGACCCGTTTCCCATTGAAAACAAAACACAGGGAGCCGCAAAACCTTTGAATATCTAAAATGAAGATAAGACTGCATATATCCATATATATATGGATATATGCAGTCTTATCTTCATTTTAGATGTCAAAAGGACATCTGTGTGTGTGTGTGTGTGTGTGTGTGTGTGAGAGAGAGAGAGAGAGAGAGAGAGGCACTTGCACTTCCCCCCCTTTCTCTCTTTCTTTCTTCTCTCCCTTTCTTTCCTCTCCCTCCCTTTCTCTTTCCTCTTTCTTCTCCCTTTCTCTTTCCTCTTTCTCCCTCTTTCCTCTTTCTATTTACTCTCTCCTCCTTTCCTCTCCCTCTCCCTTTCTCTTTCCTTCCTCCCTTTCTCCCTCTCCTCTTTCCTTTCCTCTTTCTCCCTTTCTTTCCTCTTTCCTTTCTTTCCTCTCTCTCTCACTCTTTTTTTCCTTTCTCCCTCTTTCTCCCTTTCTATTTCTTTCCTCTCTCCCTCTCCCTCCCCTTATTTCATCTCCCTTTCTCTTTTCTTCGTCCCTCTTTCCTCTTTTCTTCCTCTTTCCTCTCTCTTTCTCCCTCTTTCTATTTCTTTCCTCTCTCCTCTCACTTTCTTTCATCTCCCTTTCTCTTTCTCCCTCTTTCTTTCCTCTCTCCCCTCCCTCTTTCTTTCCTCTCCCTTTCTTTTCTCTTCCTTCTTTTCCTTTCTCCCTTTCTTTCCTGTCTCCCTCTTTCTATTTCTTTCCTCTCTCTCCCCCTCTCCCTCACCTTCTTTCATCTCCCTTTCTCTTTTCTCTTTCTCCCTCTTTCTTTTCCTCTCTTTCCTCTCTCTCCCCCTCTCCTTTCCCTTTCTCTTTTCTTCCTTTCTTTCCTTTCTCCCTTTCTATTTCTTTCCTCTCTCCCCCCTCTCCCTTTCTTTCATCTCCCTTTCTCTTTTCTCTTTCTCGCTTTCTTTCTTTCCTCTTTCCTTTCTTTCCTCTCTCTCCTCCCTCCCTCTTTCTCTTTCCCCTCCCTCTTTCGTCTCTCCCTTTCCTCTTTCTTCTCCCTTTCTCTCCTCTTTCTCCCTCTTTCCTCTCTTTCCTCTCTCCCCTTTCCTCTCCCTCTCCCTTTCTTTCGTTCCTTTCCTTCCTCTTTCTCCCTTTCTATCCTTTCTTCCTTTCTCTCCTCTCTCCTCTTTCTTTCCTTTCCTCTTTCTCCCTTTCTCTTTCCTCTTTTCTTTCTTTCCTCTCTCCCCTCTCCCTTTCTCTCCTCTTTCCTTTCTCTCTTTCCTTTCTTTCCTCTTTCTCCCTTTCCTCCCTTTCTCCCTCTTTCTATTTCTTTCCTCTCTCCCCCTCTCCCTTTCTTTCATCTCCCTTTCTCTTTTCTCTTTCTTCCTCTTTCTCTTCCTTTCCTTTCTCCCTTTCCTCTTTCCTTTCTTTCCTTTCTCTTTCCTTTCTCTCCCCCTCTCCCTTCCTCTTTTCTCTCCCTCTTTCTTCTCTCCCTTTCTTTCGTCTACCTCCCGTTCTCTTTCCTCTTTTTTCTCCCTTTCTCTTTCCTCTCTTTCTCCCTCTTTCTCTTTCTTTCCTTTCTCTCCCTTCTCCCTCTCTTTCCTCTCCCTTTCTCTTGCTTCCTCTTTCTCTTTCTTTCCTCCCT